TAGTACGATGACTTTCCGGCCGGAATACTGCCCCCCTTTCCAGTATTTTTCCGGTCGGTTCCAGCAGGAATTGCGCGGGAACCGGCGGGAATTAGCCGGAAAATGCCCCGGTTCCTGCAGGTTCCGGTGGGATCCGTTGACTGGAATCATCGACCTGGGGATCTATATCGAAACCCCTAAAACTTGATAATATCAGCCGTTTAAACGTTTAGAATTTTCAACCAAGTAGATACGAAAAAATTCGTGCATGGAAACTGCTAAAATTTGATGACATCATCCGTTTAAACGTTTAGAACTTTGAAGCATGCAGATTTGAAGAAACTCATGTATGAAAAATTCTAAAAATTCATTATCTCAGCCGTTTAAACGTTTAGAATTTTCAACGATGGAGACACGAAATAATTTATGTGTGAAAACTCCTAGGAATTCTTAACATAAACCGTTTAAACGTTACGAATTTTGAACTATGTAGACATAAAGAAGTTTTTGTACCGAAACCCCTTAAATTTGTTGACACCAAATGTTTAAATGCTTAGAATTTCGAAGCATGTATATATGAAAAATTTCATATGTGAAAACTCCTAAAAATTCATAATACCAAACGTTTAAACATGTAGAATTTTAAACTATGTAGATATAAGGAAACTTCTATATCAAAACTTCTAAAAATTATTGACATCATTCGTTTAAACGCTTAGAATTTTGAAGCATATAGATATGGAAAAATTCATGTATGAAAACTCCTCGGAATTCTTTATGTCAGCCGTTTAAACGTTTACAATTTTTGAACTATGTAAATATAAAAAAAGTTCGATATCGACACTTCTAAAAATTATTGACATCAAGCGTTTAAACGTCTGGATTTTTGAAGCATGTAGTTACGAAAATATTCATATATGAAAACTCCTAGAAATCCTTTATATGAACCGTTTAAACGTTTAGAATTTTGAACTATGTAAATATGAAAAAATTTCTATATTGAAACTCCTAAAACTTATTGACATCAGGCATTAAAACGTTAAGAATTTTGAAGCATATAAATATGAGAAAATTCATGTATGAAAACACTTGAAAATTCATTATACAGCCGTTTAAACGTTTAGAATTTTGAACTATGAAGATATGAAAAAATTCATACATGAAAATTGCTAGAAGTTGATGATGTAATTCGTTTAAATGTATAGAATTTCGAAGCATGCAGATATGAAAAAAATTCATGTATAAAAATTTCTAGAAATGCATTATATCAGCCGTTTAAACGCTTAAAATTTAGAACTATGTGGATACAAAAAAGTTTACATCTTGAAACACCTGGAAGTCAATGAAACTAGCCGTCTAAACGGTTACTATTTACTATAAAAAAGGTATCCGAAATATTTGATGCTGCACTATGTTGAAATACTGAAGCACCCATCGTTTAAATGCTTGAACTTTCTGAATAGTTAATCTAAAAAATATATGGAGAAAATAACGTCTAGAACTCTCAACTTTGAAGGATGAATGTCGTCAGTAATTATTGCAGAAATCCGAATTATAAAAGTGTTGGGGAAAACGCGCAAAAATCTCAACTTTTTGATGCGTGAAATGAGTTTTTGGAGCCAATGACCGTTTACACGATTACAAAGCAAGCTTTCGAGGTGTTTAAACGTCTACAAATATTCAATAGAAAAAAACTGTACGTTTTCACCAGTGGAATTTTAGAATTCTGAGTGTTTACACGGCCATCTTCTTTTTAACGCGTGTAAACGCTTGAAAAAGTCAGTTGTACGGTGTGTACACGCATTTTTTCGAACTCTTGTCTGCTTGGGAAGTGCTGATGATTTCATACTTATACATGATTTATATAATACATCGAGAACACAATTTATTTCACATGATAGAAATCATAACGGTTATGAAACTGACACACTAAAATAAAATGTCTTGCATGTGTCGCAACGAACGACATATTTTATTTTAGTGTGCATCCAACATTCTTCATAAATTTATTACGAAACCTTTTACAACTAATGCATTAACAACCTTTCTATACTACACTCAAGATTTGTTAGCATTCGTCCTTTTAGATTAACGCTAAGGTCGTTCTCTTTCTTTTAAAAAAATGTATATATGTGTGTGTGTATATGTCCACTTGCACAACATCTTTTATTATCTGTTGAAATGGTGAAAAACACGTACATATATAGTGAACGAGAAAAGAGAAGGGAGAAAAGAAAGAGAAGGGAGAAAAGAAAGAGAACAGAGAAAAGAAAGAGAACAGAGAAAAGAAAGAGAACAGAGAAAAGAAAGAGTACAGAGACTAGATACATGGATAACAGAGGAGAAGACTAGATATATCACTGAGAAAGAAACAGAAAAAGAAATAAAAAAATAACAATAAAAAATGAAAATGAAAATAGATGACGAGTTGTATCAGTGCGACATCACTGTAATAAGATTCTTATGTAAAACATCGAATAATGTTTAACTAAACCACATGTACGCCTCACACCAAAACAATACTCTTATCAACATAATATAGCCATATACATAGCGGTGAATAAAGAGAAAAACGAAAAGAAAACATGCATCGATCATAATATGAACCATTGGTACCAGGTGAAGTTCTTCAAAACAAGTTCTTCTCAAAATTTTATTATTATAATATCAATTGAATAGTAATCAGATAGCATAGAAAGATAGAGGAAAAGATGCTATGTTTGTTCGTAAAAAAACAAAAGTTATCTAATTACTGTATACAAAAATATAAGTTCAGACTTATTACTTTTCGATTAACCTAAGTAGTTGCCAAATATTTTATAATCAAAAAGATCAAAATAATTTGCTGTTGTTTTTCTAAGTTCAGAAGTATTTCTGAAATTTATCATTCCTCAGATAGAGGTTTTTCTTTTCTTTTCTTTTTGACTCTCTTATTGTATTATTGACCGTATTGAAAACTTCTCTATTGGAATGCCAAAATCCTTATTATAAACCCTTCATCTGTAAGATGATATTTTTGACAGGTAATATTCGAAATTCATAAATATCTTTATGTACATTTTGGAAAATATTTACAAGCATTTAATAAAAGTTTCAAAAAAGGACGCCGTTTTTTTATAAGTTAAACATAAACAGATTGTTCTCAAAGCTGATGAGCCAACAAGTTTTAATAGAAGTATAGATTTATGTTTGACTCTGTGCTTAAAAGAATATTTCATGAGAATGATCGTTCGATGTAAAATATTATTTTAGATATTGTTATCTTGTTCAAAGGCTTTTTTTAAAATGCTTATTATTAAAAGAGAAAGAACAATATAAGATTATAAAAATAGCGAAAAAGATTACAATATTCAAATAGACATATGAAGTTCATCGAAAATGTTTTGCTAGAAAGTAAAATTTTTTTTAAAACTCTGATTATATTCATATGTTTCTGATTACTTGACATTTTAATTATCCCATGTGTTCGATTGCAGTCAAACTGTGGCGCAGTTACGCGTAACTGCGATAAAAAAATCGCAGTTGCGCGTAGTTACGGTAAAAAAATTGCACATGCTAAAAAAGACGACATAGCTAACGTTATCACTTTATTAATAATTTTATTAGAAATGAAAAAAATTTTTAAAATATAAAAAGCTTTTAAAAAAATTGCTAATAAGAAATTTTTAAAAAAGGCAAATGGAAAAATTTTACAAAATAAAAAAAATTTATAAGAAATGAAAAGTTTAAAAAATTTTAAAAAAATAAAAACAAAAAATAAAAATCTAGAAAATAAAAAATATATAAAAGAACGCATCTCAAGCATACGAGCTTATTTCTTTCTTTTTCTATTATCAAGACACTTCATCTAGCCTCTCCAATTATCAAGGTAAGCATCGTGGATACTTTAACAAAAGTAGTTAAAGTAGAGATTTTGTCACAAAAGAAGAGCTCTGTTAAGAAAAGAACGATTTTTTATAAAGTTTGATTCAAGGTCTTAGGGTCGAGAAATCCGAATCTGAAATCGGTTTTTCGAAATTTTGAGTTCGATTTTACCACAAAATTTTTTGTAAAAAAAAAATATTTTTTAAAAGAAAAAATTTTTTTTGTGAAAAAGTGACTTTTTAGCAAAAAAAAATTTACGAAACAAACTGATTCACAAAAAGTTTTTTGTAAAATAATTTTTTTACAAAAAAAATTTTTATGGTAAAACTGAACTCAAAATTTCGAAAAACCGATTTCAGATTCGGATTCCTCGGTCCCTAAAACCTTTGATCAAACTTTAGAAAAAATCATTCTTTTTTTAAAAAAGCTCTTCTTTTGTGAAAAAAATCTCCACTCTAACTAATTTATTAAAGTATCCATGATGCTTACTCTGATAATTTGAGAGACTAAATGAAGTGTCTTGGTAATAGAAAAAGAAAAGAATGAGCTCTCATGCTTGAGATGTGCCCTTTTATACTCCATTTGGTCATTATTATTGGTGTTTAAGAACCATCGAATTGGAGAATTAAGATATTTATTTATCATTGGCTATTTTTTCAGTAACTGCGGGAACAGTAGACACCTTGGCAGGCACTGCGCTCACTGCGTTGTAGATGCGAACGCAAATGCGTCGCAGTGAAAACAGTCTATTTCTTTAATCTCAAGTGCGTCCAGTGCGTCGCAGTTACGCGCAACTGCGTCGCAAAATGGCTACTGCGCGTAAGTGCGGCACAGTTGTTAAAAAAGTTGTGACGTGGGATGACTAATCAACCGTTAAATGACCTAATACATACATGGAAATAAGTAACCAAACTTGAATATTTTTGAAAAATAAAGTTCATGAAAGTTGTTCGTTCTTTTTTTTTTTGCAAATTTATTCTGAAGTGATATCTTGTCGTTCAAATAAAGGTACAATATTCAGCTGAATCATGTTTTTCTCTATCAAACAATATTTCAATAAAAATGAAAACATTTTATTTTATTTTAATTCTATTATAGATTTTGCTTTATTCTAGTATATAAACGATTAACTTTATTTGTGTCATTATTAATAATCAATGTTATTCTTCTTGAAGTTTGAATATTTATTATTAAATATTTTACTTGTACAACTAAACATCGATAATGTTATGTCCATTTGGCCATCATCAAATTCATCTGATATCTATTTACTCGGCCTTTTTGGTTATATGCCAGATGCATCTGATAATAACTACCAAGTTCTTCATTTTCGAGCAATGTTTAAAGCGGCAGTACTGCTTTCTAATCAATATAATATAACAATAGATGGAAAATTGATCGGATGGAAAGAAGGACTAACTATGGGCGATGTAATAGTTGCATTGAATGAGACATGCCATTCAGTATCTGAATTAAATATAGTTGGTATTGTTGGTCCACAATTTTCAAGAGAAACTCTTTTAATTAGTCCACTTTGTGAAAAGCTTAATTTACCCGTTATATCGTATTCTGCAACTGATCCTGATTTATCTGATGCAACAATTTACCCTAATTTTTATCGTACAGTTCCAGCAGATAATATAATGGCATTAGCTCTGCTTAAGTTATTCAACCGATTTAATTGGACATCATGTTTAATTATTTATCAAAATGATGCATTTGGATCTGGCGGAGCGAAAGTTATTAATGATTTATTTAATGCAAGCAATATAAAAGTAGTACAAATGATCATGTATGATATTGCCAAAAAAAGTATTCGTGGCGATTTGAAGACTTATCTAATGAATAGTCCATCAAGAATTGTTATTTTATGGGCTGACCCAATCTACACATCATCAATAGTGCAAAATGCTCTCGATTCTAATGTTGTTGGTCCACTTTTTACATGGATAATTACTTCACAGATTTTATTGAATTCCTTCGATGAAAGGTATCATCAAAATTTAGTTGGAATGCTTTTAATCGAACCAGTTGTTGCACCAGTTGTTGGTGCACCATATAATACTGAATTATTAAATGCAGCATATAATATATGGCAAACATATGAAAATGAAACATTTCCTGGATCAACAAATGTTAATGATTATGCATTATTTTCATTTGATGCAACATGGGCATTTATTAAATCCTTAGAAGAATTGTGTTCATCAAAAAAAAATAATTCTTCTTCATCATGTTTATCATTTAACACATCTTCATTCTGTTTTAATTTTCGTTTCAATCAGTATGATTCATTGGTATCAATACTTGCTAGAACAAACTTTCTTGGTGTATCCGGTTTTGTGGGATTTAGCAATAATACTACAGATCGAACAAATGGTTCATATTATATTTTAAGAAACGTTCAAGCATCTGCAAATGGTTTGAAGTTTGCATCTGTATTAGAATACATTGGTCCTGGGTATTGGAGAGTACCTTGGGATTATTCCTAAACGGACGTCAAATTAAACATGACATTTTATCATCATTCCCTTCTTCCTTTGATTCTTTCGTTTTTCTTTTTATTAAATCTTTTCATCCGTTTACACATCATTATTTTATATGTTGCATTAATAGGATGTTTTTTAGTATAGATTTCCAATGGTTAGAAAAGAATAGAAAAACCAGTGTATTTACCTAAAACTAAAATTGAATCCGAACGATAAAGAATATAATACTTGAAAATTAATAAGGATAATAAATAATGTAAATAGAGAAACTTCTCGACAGTGTATTGAAATAATAATAAAGATAAATATCACTAGATACACTGTTCCATCGATCTATGAGCAAAATCAAAGATTTTTATTGGAAATGACCTTTAAATTAGATTTATTTTGAAAATTCCATGATAAAATGTTGCAGAGGTATGTAAGTTATTTGTTTAATCTATATATCCGTGGTCATCTGCATTTGATTACCAGTTGTTTGTGTATTCTTGTTTTTATGACGTTCTTTTCGAATGATTCTATATAACAGAAAATTCTATTATATGGCCAGGAAACTCCTTAACACCATCTGTTAATCGAGCGCTTCTTCGAGGTGTAAGTTTAAGAATTGGAATAGCCGAGTTATCTCCATTTACAATGGTTCAGAATGTAACAGATGATAACGGACAAAGTACAATACAATATACTGGCTATGCGATTGATCTTTTACAGCTTTTAATGGATCAACTTGGTTTCAAAGCAACTCTTCTATTAAAACCATCAGATCAAACATATAACGAATTCGTTCGGGCAGTAAGTGAGGGTGTTTATGACATTATCATTGGTGCTATTACTGTTACTTCTCCAAGAAGAGAAATAGTTGGTTTTTCTAGTGCTATATATGATAATTCTCTACGTACTATCGTGAGACAAGTAAACGGTCCTGGTATCGATTTATTTGCATTCTTAAAACCATTTTCACGTAGATTATGGATATTAGTTCTAGGAACTTGTATTTATGCAGGTATTTTAATATTTCTTATAGAAAGAAGAAAGAACGAAGATTTACAAAATCGATCAATTCCATCTCAATTAATAATGAGCATATGGTATTGTTTTGGTAATATGTTTGGATACGGTATAGAGTTTAATACACGTACAGCTGGTGGACGTCTTTTAACTGCTGGGCTCTATATATTAAGTTTAATACTAGTAGCATCATATACTGCTAATTTAGCATCAGATCTAACTATAGCGAGATCACAGTTTGTTATATCAGGAATAAATGATGTTAAAAATGGAAAAGTACCAATAAATCGTGTTGGCATTTTGGCCGATTCAGCTATAGAAAACTATATTAAAGCAGTGATGCCTGCAGGAAGTCAAAATTATTATCCAATACACTCTTTCGAAGAATTATACGATAGTCTACTAGCTGGCATTATTGACGTTTCCTGTTAGACGAAGGATTGGTTGAAAATGCCCTCAATACTATTTATTGTAATTTAACTGAAGTTGGCGTTAGTTTTGCTGAAAGTTCTTATGCCATTGTTACTCCTAAAGAATGGTTATATACACCAGATTTAGATGTTAGTATATTATCACTTAGAGAATCAGGTAAAATTGATGATTTGAAACAAAAATGGTTGCAAGCACGAACTTGTCCTGATTCAACGCTTACATCAACATCCTTGGACATCAAAGCACTTAGTGGATTGTTTGCTATTTTTGTAGTTATTACTGCTCTATCATTATTATTATTTTTATGGACTGAAAGACGTAATATTAAAAAATATTTATTACAATTTATATACAAAAAAGATTCATTAGCCGAAGGAAGACACTCTACAACAAGAAATTCAAACAGAAATTATGAACACGAACAAAATCTTGAAACAATTTCGGTGGTTATTCACAATTTTTGAAATAGAAATTGCCTCTTTTTATTTACAATAAAGAATATTCATTCTACCTTTAACCAATATATATTTTCTATGTAACTATGAAACGTATTTTGTGTTCAAAAGTGTCTGCGACCAAAACAGGCTTAAAATGCACTGAAAATTGTCTACGGTACTATTGGGTTGTCAAGAAATTTTTGTCGTTTTTTTGAAAATTTTCTTTTTATTTTTTAATATCAAGAATACAACTAGCTTTCAACAATGTATGCTCCATTGCTATCTATAACTTGTCGCCAACGCTCTGGTAGAGAAAGAATCCCGCGTTCGTAGAAATTCTGTGACTTTAGATCAAAGAAGTTGGCGATGTTCATCTTGAGATCGCTTTCGTCGTCGAACTTTTTCTCGTTTAAATGATTAGAAAGAGAACGGAACAAATGGTAGCCCGTAGGAGCCAAGTCTGGCGAATAAGGTGGATGGGAAACAGTGATCCATCCAAGCTCCAATAAATTTTGGCGTGTCGACTTTGCTACATGGGGTCTGGCATTATCGTGCAAAAAGTAAATTCGATCTTGTTTTCCTTTGAGTTTTTCTGCAACCCGATCCAGTTGCTGGCAGTAGAGATCAGCAGTGATGGTGCAATTAGCTGGAAAAAGTTTCCAATGAATAATCCCTCTTACTCCCCACCAAATGCTCATCATAATCTTCTTTTGGTTAGGGTCATCTTTGGGTGTTGCCACACCTTTTTGTCCAGCCACCAGCCACTGCCGCTTGCACGTGTGGTTAACATACAACACCCACTTTTCATCGCCGGTAATAAGATTATGGAGCCATTGGTAGTTGCGATGAGAGGGTGGGTGTGGGTGCGGTTGTGGGGTGTGGGTGCGGGTGGGTGTGAGTGTGGGGTGAGGGTGTGGGTGTGGGTGTGGGTGTGGGGTGAGTGCGGTTGTGGGTGTGGGTGTGG